CTATAACAGCACCCTCGACATATATAGTAAAATGTGACGTTAAAAAAATCAGACAATGAATCTTGTTTTTCACTATGGAAAATTGTAAGAAAAATCTTATTTATAAAAAAAATTCCCCAAAACAATAGAAGGTTATTCACGACTTTGGGAAAACTATTTGAAGATACGAATGCGCGAAATTCAAGACATGTAGTAGCTAAAACAATAATAAATAGCAACCATCAACATTTATATTAATTTTAAAGGATGCACTAGAAACATCCACTTAATTTTCATAGACCACTCTAAAACATATTTGCGACGTGTTTAATGATTTATCGGGTCGATTTAACACTGAGGAAAATATCATAAACAACATTTAAAGGAACACTAGTTGCTAGAGCAACAATTTATGGTTGACCTAATTATTTCCAATACATTTTTCATATATTGATACATTTGTTACGTATCTGCTTGTTTGATAATTTCCGGAAAAAAATCTTTCGGAGTGACTTCGCGATACAAATCCCTTCTTGATTAAAACTAGTTTATTATTTTTCGTTACAAACTTTGTAATACATTTAAAGTGTGTGAATCGCTGTGAATTATAGCGTGTGTTTATAAAAGTAGTTAAGTTTAAAGTGACTGTGGAAATTCACTAACAGTGGCTACTGCTTGCTTGACTCAATTATATGTCTCTATATCTATCTATCTACAATTTTTATCTCCACTTTATTTGCCGGGCTTATGTACAAAAAAAAAGAGGGCGCCTAGAACAGACTAGAGTTGCCAGGAAAAGGCAAGATCCTTAGAGAATCTTATGACGTGTTACCAGGTCACGTGACTTCCGCTGTCGTAACAATATATGTATGTATATATATATATATATATTATGAACGATTCCTATTAAATTATGTCGAACGAATTTTTTGCTCTATTTTTTTCAGTTGAATGCAAAAACTAGTATTTGGTTGTACATACTCTTTCATAACTTTTTCCTGAATATATTAAATACCAACAAAGGGATCACTATACACAAACCGTAAAAGTACCGATATCTTCTGTTGGTATTGGTAGATCGTGGACTATATTGTTATTTAACAGTTTATGTATTTATAATATATTGAAGTTTAGAGTTGTATTGTGAATTTTCTTTCCTAGCTTTTTATACTATTACTTTGACTATTAGAATGATTGGTTTACTATCTGTTATAGCGAACTTAATAATTTAGTTAGATCACAAGGTTTTCTTGCCTTAGGCTTAGAGTAATTTGGACGTATCTAACCTCTCTAGGCTACACCAGTTCACGGTTCAGTGTAAACAGTAATGTTAACACTTTTCTTAATTTTTGTGGGAATACCAACGTAAGTAAGTACATTTAATGAAATTTGATGCTTTTTTCAACCTAGTAAATAATTATGAATTTTAGTTTATTGTTCAATAATATTAATAATATTTAGTAATAGTAATTATTAATATTATTATTATACCAATATCGGTGCTAATAGTGACGCAGTAATAAAACTAGTAATATATTGATTCCTACTACCATGAATACCTATGTTGCTGGTGATGTTTGAATTTAAATTAGCATAGAAAATGAATGAAATAAGTTAGAAAATATTTTCATGATCAGCCAATAGCTAGATCAGTAGTTGCAAACATTGGCTATTGAAGAGAAGTTTAAAAGGGTGTAATATAAATTAAAGTTAATAGTAATTTAAAGAGACCAGATATATTTGATTCAAATCTGGAATATTATATGAGGATTTAAAAAGCTTAAAATAAAAAAATATATAAATGTTCCATATTGAAAGGTTTCATTTATTTTTAAGTAATGAAAATAAAACTAATCACACATCATTGGATTCCAAAGTCACAAATTAGTGTATATACACTGCAAGTTCAATTATATAGTTAATAATTAATGAAAAACAATTAAAAATCATACCTGTAAATTGACCTTTTGCACCACATGACCTTAGAACAATGTTAACAAAATGTTTGAGATTGATATCACTTTATTGCTTTACCTGATAACCTGAAACTGTGTGAAACCTGTGTCAAGGAAAAATATAATGTAATCCTAATAAAATCCATCAATTTCAAATTCGTACACATGGATTCATATTATATGAATAAGTGAAATGAATTTGGAGTGGTATATTTGCTCAAGTTAAAATACTTAAAATATGAAATCCTGTATTGAGTAATGAAGTTCAGTATTTAAAGCTTCTAAAGACATTGCCTATGTTATGACTGATACTAGTGTAGCATTTTCTCTGTCAGGTGAAATTATATGTCCTAATATTGTTTTAATCTTGCTGCAGCAAATATATGGAAGTAGCCAGATTCTCGGCAGATCTATGGGTTTGACAAGGTGTGCTACTTTTCCACGAGTTGTCATCACAGGTCTGGGTATTGCTTGCCCTCTTGGTGTTGGAGTGCATTATGTATGGGACCGACTGTTACAGGGGGATTGTGGTATCACAGCAATCTGTGACAGTAGCTATGATGACATACCTTGCAAGTTAGCAGGATATGTACCTCGTGGAACTGAATTAGGACAACTAGATTTCAATAAAGAGTTTCTGAAATCAGATCTTAAGACACTATCATTGGCCTCTTGTTATGGCTTAATAGCTGCTAAAGAAGCATTACAAGATGCTAAATGGAATCCTTCCTCTGAAAATGAGCAGCAAGAAACTGGTGTGGCAGTTGGAATGGGAATGGTTGACGTGTCTGATATTATCCTGACAGGAAAAACTTTGGAGGATCGTGGTTACCGATACGTAAGCCCGTACTTTGTTCCTAGAATACTCGTAAACATGGTTGCTGGCCAGATCAGTATCAGACATAAATTGCAAGGCCCAGTTCATGCAGTCTCAACAGCCTGTACCACAGGACTGCATGCTATTGGTGATGCTTTCAATTTTATTCAAAGAGGAGATGCATCTGTAATGGTATGTGGTGGCAGTGAAGCTGTAATTAGCCCATTGGCTGTTGCAGCATTTGCACGCATGAGAGCCTTGAGTACAAATTATAATGATAACCCATCTAAGGCCTCACGTCCATTTGACAAAAAGAGAGAAGGGTTTGTCATGAGTGAAGGTGCTGGAATTTTAATTCTTGAATCTTTAGAACATGCAGAAAAAAGAGATGCAAAAATATATGCAGAAGTTTTGGGTTATGGCCTCTCAGGTGATGCCCACCATATTACAGCTCCAAGGGAGGATGGAAAGGGTGCCTTTTTGTGTATGAAATCAACCTTGAGAGATGCTGAGCTAGAACCATCTGCAGTACAATACATAAATGCTCATGCTACTTCTACTCCTTTGGGTGATGCTGCAGAAGTCAGAGCTATCAAACAACTATTTGGAAATCATGCTAAAACACTTGCGATATCTTCTACAAAAGGAGCTATTGGCCACATGCTGGGAGCTGCAGGCTCTGTGGAAGCAATCTTCACTGTGTTAGCATGTTGGAGTGGTGACATCCCTCCAACAATAAACTTTGAGGAAACGGAAGAAGATTTAAACTTTGTGCCTGTTAGGTCTCAGAAATGGCCATACTTAGGACAGGGAGAAAGAAGAGTTGCATTAACCAACTCTTTTGGCTTTGGTGGAACAAATGCTTCATTAGTTATAGGAAGTTTTAATAAATAACAGTTATGATTATCATAAAGTATGTTTACTCCAGTGTTAACTGCTTGAGAATAATATGAATTATCAAGTTTTGTATGTGAACTGTTGTAAATTAAACATTCACTACTAAGTAAAAGCATTAGTGTGTTGATGTGTATTTGTTTTCTGATAATTGGTTGAATTAATATATTTTACTTTGTTGCTAAATCGAGTAATAAGAAAATTGAAACTAAATTTCAAAGTTTCAGAGAAGTTTTGATGTTTGTCAAGTTTTATATCTGCTAAAGATAATTTCTACCTTTGTTTACAAAAGAAAAATATATGTAAAATTGTTTTATAAGTTGTCAAGAGGTAGCAGCACTTGTCAGATTTTGACCTGTTTCTAAAGATCCTTTTACATAATAATTTGGTACATACATTTTTGATGGTGAGAAAACTACTAGTGACCAAACATAAATATTCATTTTAAGGTTCACAATCTTGTAGGACTACCTCTAGAATTCCATGGGGCTTGCAGTTATTTAGTAGGTATGAAATCAGTTTTTACTTGTGATATGTTCCAGGTTTTCCAGTATATAATCCTATAATTACTCTAGGAATGCTGGCCTTGATTATTTGGTTCGGAGTTGCCTCTCAAGGTCTCTCCATATTTGTTCAGATCTGTATTTTGGGATGGTCTGGGTAGCAGTTGCCATCTGTTTTGTACTTTCCAAACTGTAGTGGTTCTGGAGGTGTGGCTTGTTGTTTCATCTTGCAGAATAGCACATGCATGGTCTGGAATTCCTTGATCAAGAGGTTTTCCTGCAGATCAGATATCTACATAGAATGAATGTAATTTTGCTACCTTACAAAATGCTTATCAAAAACATGACTCTAAAACCTCTGTGCTTAACAGTTGGCTATAAGCATAATGGGTCAGAAGTCACTAAAATTTTGCTGAACCCACATGAATCCAAAATATGTGGATTGATGGAAGTCTGACTTACCTGAGAAGACTGTGAACCATTAATGTGAAAGGGATTTTCCAATAACTGTTTTTCACCAGTAAAAAAAAAAATGCTATTGTTCACTGCTATCATCAATAATGACTTCATTCAAGCAACCTGCTTAGTGTACCCAAGTGTGTATAAGAGCCTTTGCACAGTGTGCTAGCTTAAAGACCACTGTGCAATTATTAACAACATTTGTTGCCAGGTGCCCCATGACTAATGAACAGCAGCTTGTTCTGTGCTTAAGGTTCCCCCAGTGTATTTATTTTTTTGCAACAGTTAAGTATTTTTAACCAAACTGTCAGACTAACCAGTGCACAGTTCAATTGAATTCTTGTGGTTAGAAGCAAAATAATGTGGAATAAACAGCTTTTGATTGGCCTATCACCTTACCATAGGTGAATGGAGAAATATCTCAGCATTCACTTGTTTTCAGCTTCTCTCTGATTATTACAGCATTTTTATATTGGTTGTTCACCTAGATTATGTAAATACAAAGACAAGTTCACATTTTTATGTATTGTCCAAATTATTATAGCAGAATTCTGTATATCAAGGGAGAGACAAAATAGGAAAATATTTAGGCAAAATTAAACATTTTTCAATGTAAATTTCATTTTCTCATTTGAAGCTTTTAAACAAAGAGTAGCAAACTAATTAATAATTATGAGAGTAACTGTTAATGGTGCAATCATTGATTCAGTATAGGTAACATAATTAAAATAATTGCTTCAGGTTAAAATTATTTTCTTTATCTCCAAACTTACCTACTCCAACACAAGCATTTCTCATACAATAAGAGATTTAAAATTATATCTCTTATCTCTAATGTTTCTTAATATCTTTCTGCTTTTAAGAATTGGTCACCTTTGGGTGTTCTCTTCATAAGCATCTTTCCAAGTCTGGCTGTTGAGAACATTCACTTTAGCAAAGTCGCTTTAAATATGCTAATGAATTAAAACAAGGAGAAATCCAGTAGCACTAGAAGTTATATACACACAGGTTGTGCTATTGTTCTGTGGACATCTTGCAAAAACTTGCCACATACTAAGATGTAACTTACAGTATTACATTTAGTTAATTCAATATGTATTTCACCAATTTATAGTATTGGACAGGTTTAGAATATAACATTAAATTACTTAAATAGTAGTAATTGTACTAGCAAACTGTGATAGGGATGGTACTTGAAGCTTTACTTGTGACAATACTACTTTGGTGCTTAATAGTTCAATAAGCAAGTCCAACCTTGTCAAGCATCGTGGGATAAAAGTTGAAAACATCACTAACAGTGAGGATACACAAATTATGACCTAAGGCATAGTGATCACAGAAGTTTTTTGTAATTTTCTTGTCACTCATAATTAACACTAATTTATTATTAATTATAATTATGGAAGATTTTTAATAGTGTTAAGAAACACGCGTCTTAATTATTCTGTTTGCTCCACAGGAAGAATGTCGTAATTTATTTTTCAAATCTGATTACAAGTCTGATATGTAAATTTTTAGCAGTGTACTTTCTGTTATAATTACTGTAAGGAGTACACTAATTTAACTGCAAAGATTAGGAAGAAAATATATCAAATGTTCATATTACACAGGCCTGCAATGGTTTTATTGACTTGAAATTTTTACTTATTCTACAGTAATTCCTCTACACTCAATCTGAAAATCATATCCATTTTTCTCCATCACGTACAGATTTTTCATGAAACATCATATGTACTTTTACATAAGTGAATCATTTTCATTGAAATCGGGTCACATTTTGTTGTGCTTAAAATGTTGACAACCACTGGCTATAGATTTCTCTAGACCATTGTGATGTGATAGTCTTATCGATCATTCTAGAACCCATGAGAAACGCACCGCTAATATATATAAACGGTTAGCATGCCGCATAACGTCATTTCTGGATAGTATTTGTTTATGCATGCACTTTGACATTATTTTTTTTCTTTTCAATATTATTTATTCATCCTTACTACAATATTGTATAGAGATGTATCCATTCTTGTTCATCACAAGAAGAATGGATACAGAAACTGGTTACCTGTTATTAGCATAATTTTCTAAGTCGATTAATAGGTAATTTCTGTTATATGTTTTATATTACTTGGTTGTATTATTTGATGGAAATCGTTTCCTCACTGAAATTGACTTGTTGCATTGTGTAGAGGAGTTTCTACCTCATATCTTCCTTTATGACTTCTTTAATCATTATATTGGAGTTAAATTTACAGTGGCAGTATAGTTTATTTTCTAAATCAGGTTTTTTATGTATTGTTACATAAATTCTAATTGTGAATGCTGATTATTTTTTTATCCTTTATGCTAAAAATGACCTATCTTTTTTGAACATATCATTTGATGTATTCTTTTTATGTCTGGATGTACAAAATGTTACTCTGTTCCCATACTACACTTACAATGTCAAATCAAAGTCATGCATATTACAAAAGGCTTTATAAGATATATTTATTTTCATAAGATAACATCAATAACAAACAAAAAGAAGACATGCCACGAATAGCTGTGTCAGCTCTCATCAGCCCAACAAGGTCGATGACAGAGATTGAGAGGTTATTAGGTGTTAATTTTAGTTGTACACACTTTTCAAAATGTTTAGGCTTGTTAACCTTCGAGCTAGAATTAAATCTTGATGATTTGAGATTTTAAGAAGAGGAAATTAAATTATTTCAACATTTTTTACCCAAATGAATGTCTACTTTAGTTACAACTAATAATTTAAACCATAACTGTTTCCATTAAGTTGTACCTGAAATAGGCCTAAATTCATTTATAATAAGTGTTGCAAGCTATTTCAATTTGTGTTTTCTCTTTCATTTCATCAAATCATGGTTGTGTTTTGTTTTACCTGTTTGTAGTTACAAATTTTCTAGTCAATTTAATATATCTTATTTTTCACATTTCAATGGACTTCAACTTTGTTGTTTCTAAATCAGTAACATGGTTAATATTATATAACAAAAATGTGTTCCAAAACATAGTTGTTAGTAAAGGTGTAGAATAACTGTTGAGGGAGAAGATAAGGAAAAGAAGTATG